CTTCAGCTGTCTATCACCGGTGTCCCGGCTGGTGATTCCCCATGATTGCTGAGATATCACTGACAGGGGAGAGGTCTGTATGTAAACAATACAGATCTCTCCCCTGTCAGCTCCTGAATCCGCACTCTTTGTATTGCATAGCAGAGCAATACAAAGCAATGTGCTTACACAGTAAAACACCGCACACAGTAAAACAGCAAAACAGTTAACCCTTTGATCGCCCCAGATGTTAACCCCTTCCTACCCAGTGTCATTAGTACAGTGTCAGTGCTTTTTATAAGCACTGATCACTGGTATTAGTGTCACTGGGGATGACAGTGTGTCAGAATACCTGCCACAGTCCCTCAGTCCTGCAGTCCCGCTATAAGTTGCAGATTGCCTCTATTACTAGTAAAAAAAAAAATCCAGTATCTATAACCGCCATTTGTAGTTTGATGCTATGACTTTCATGTAAACCAATTCATTTACACGTATTGAGATTTTCTTTTAGCAAAGACATGTAGCAGAATACATTTTCGCCTAAATTTATGATGAAATTTGATTTTTTTAATTTTTTTTACTGGACATGTTTAAAGTGATACTAAACCCAGGACCCTGCATTCACTCTCTCTGGTCTCATACAGTACACAGAACATGGAAATGCAATTATTTTAGTAAATATAAACTGCTAAATACCTTTTTCTCATCAGCAGTTAGAGCAGTCTTGTGACTTCAGTAGAGCACTGGTTTAATCTTGTAGAAGGAGTTTTCTTTCTGCTCTAGGAGGATGTGAAACCCCTGACCTCTGTCTGGACAGTGCTGATCAGTCCTGTACTGATCACATGTGCCCTCCCAAAGAAAAAAAAAAAACTCTGTGGCAATACACATCAAACTGAGCTTGTGCATGTGACTACGGATTCAGTCTGTATCAGTGGACATTTCAACAAAAGTAGGGGCAGAAAAGACAGGGATCAAACAGCATTTTTACACAATGCAGAGGATTAACCCCTTAGGTTCCACAGTGAGTATAACAAGCGTGCTTTACTGTATATACAGACTGATTTTACTGTTGTGGGTTTAGTAAAACTTTAATAGCAAAAAGTCAAAAATATTGTTTTTTTCTCACAATTGTCTGTCTTTTTTTTGTTTATAGTGCAAAAAAATGAAAAATGCAGAGGCAATCAAATACCACTGAAAAAAGCTCCATTTGTGGGGGAAAAAAAAAGGGCATACATTTCATTTGGGTGCAGCGTTGCATGACCACACAATTGTCAGTTAAAGTAACGCAAAAAATGGCCTGGTCGGGAAGGGGGGTAAATCCTCTGGAGGGCAAGTGGTTAATGTCTGTTACATTAGGGCAGCTCATTTTATTTACAGCAAATGAGCTTCTGAACACACCAATAAAAGGTTTGTCAGACTACCTCATGTAACACACAGTTGGCAAAGTGTGTTAGGGTGCCATTCAGAATGGATGATATTGCATCTCACCATTGCACGCAACACAAGTTAGTGTGAATGGGCCCTCAAAAAACTTTATTCAAACCCGCTGCAAAGATTGTCTACATGGCAGCAGCATACACTACATCCAAATATACTAGCTCTCAGTATGCTTAGATATTCCAGGATGTGTAGTCTTCTTGAGGAACCTTAGGGACATTCTGGTCTTTACTCTAGAATTTATCGTAGATTGCATGTTGGTGCTAGCCTAACTAGCCACACAATTACTTTATTTTATTTGTTTAATTATCTTTCTTCATTTTAACCTATTAAAATGTGTTTTTACTGTAGCTTCTTACACAAATTCCCTTGGGAACGTTTTGCTTTCTGTGGGTTTGCTTACTTTTAACCATTTGTTCCATGTTAAGGTGCCCAAAGACATAAAATAATTTCATGAACATATAGTTACATAGCTAGTCTGGCTGAAAAAAGACAAAAGTCCATCCAGTTCAACTATTAAAAAAAAAAAGTTATAATCCTATTACCCACAGTTGATCCAGAGGAAGGCAAAAAAAACATCAAAGCATGATCCAATCTGTTCCTGCAGGGGAAAAAAATTCCTTCACGATCCCCGAGAGGCAATCGGATATTCCCTGGATCAACGTTATCTATAAATTTTAGTATCCAGTTATATTCTGTGTATCCAAGAAAGAATCCAGGCCTTTTTAATAGCAATCCACTCAGCTGGCCAGAACCAACTCTTGAGGGAGTCTATTCCACATTTTCACAGCTCTTACTGTGAAGAAACCTTTCCGTGTTTGGAGATTACATTTCTTTTCCTCCAGATGTAAAGAGTGCTCCCTTGTCCTCTGTGATGACCTCAGGGTGAATAGCTCTATACCAGCAATGGGCAAACTACAGCCCGCGGGGCCGTATACGGCCCGGTGGACCTTTTAATCTGGCCCGCGGAGCGTGGCAAACATCGGCTGTCAGAATGTGTGTAGGCGGGGCAGCGTGAGGAACGTGAGGGGAGCTAGGCTCCTCTCACAGTCCGCCCTTAAGACCGGAACGGCGCGGGAACACGGCGAGAGGAACGTGCGGAGCAAAGGTAAGTGAATTGACACAGGGGGGACTTGGGGACTTAATATGGGGAATGAATTACTACAGGGGGGATGAATTACTATATGGGGGATGAATTACTATATGGGGGATGAATTACTATGGGGGATGAATTACTATGGGGGATGAATTACTATGGGGGATGAATTACTATATGGGGGATGAATTACTATGGGGGATGAATTACTATATGGGGGATGAATTACTATGGGGGATGAATTACTATATGGGGGATGAATTACTATATGGGGGATGAATTACTATATGGGGGATGAATTACTATATGGGGGATGAATTACTATGGGGGATGAATTACTATGGGGGATGAATTACTATGGGGGGATGAATTACTATATGGGGGATGAATTACTATATGGGGGATGAATTACTATATGGGGGATGAATTACTATGGGGGATGAATTACTATATGGGGGATGAATTACTATGGGGGATGAATTACTATGGGGGATGAATTACTATGGGGGATGAATTACTATGGGGGATGAATTACTATATGGGGGATTAATTACTATATGGGGGATGAATTACTATGGGGGATGAATTACTATATGGGGGATGAATTACTATGGGGGATGAATTACTATGGGGGATGAATTACTATATGGGGGATTAATTACTATGCTTACTATGGGGGAATATTACTATACTTACTATGGATGACACATACACATCATTCATCTACTCTTGGTCCGGCCCCCGGGTCCAATATATGAACCCATTGCGGCCCTCAAGTCAAAAAGTTTGCCCCCCCCTGCTCTACCCTAGTTCACTATATGAACCACAGATGTATTTATACATGTTGATCACATCCCCTCTTAATCTCCTCTTCTCAAGAGAGAATAAATTCAGTTCCTCTAATTTTTCCTCATAGCTGAGCTCCTCCATGCCTATTATCTGTTCTCTGTACTTTCTCTAGATCCCCAATGTTCTTTTTGTGAATTGGTGCCCAAAACTGAACTGCATATTCTGGCCTGCAGATAGACTTGGTTCAACATACAGTATCTTAGTGGAAAGCGTAATTTGACAGGTTGCAAACAGGGGTGGACTGACCATTTGAGCACTCAGGCACTGCCCGAGGGCCCAGGGTCAGTAGGGGGCCCCATGAGATGCCCCTGGTACCTTTTCATTGTTTTTTTCATAGGCCTTTTTGGGTGTGGGCGAAAACACAGGGGCCCCATGATCCCCTATTGCTCGGGGGCCCCATGAGTTCTCAGTCCGCTCCTGGATGGAAAACCTTATCACATTGCTAATGTTTTTCTGAAGAAAGTTAGTGCAAGGACTTTATGAAGCATCTCTATGCCAGCCTTTGCCATCCCTCTCAGTGGACTTAAAGTATACATAATCCCTCACCTTGTAAAACAACCCATTCAGTTAAAATTAGAAAGGAAAGGCAAAACATTTGTGTATACATATCAATAAAATTTAAATACCTTTTTGTCCCTATTTCATAAGTGATCATATACTCCCTATTCTCATTTCCATAAGGAGTTGGGGGAGGAGAAACAACAATACTAGTCTTCCCAGTGAATGGCTATGTAGGAGGGGGCATGTCAGCACAAGGCTGATCATTGGAGGAGAACAAGTTCAGTTTCCAGCACAGCCAGAGCACTGACCATGCTGTGTTCCCCTGCCTAGTATGGTCAGTTTTGAAAGGAAAGCAGGAGGACTGGCAGGAACACCGGGGATTTCTTACAAAGGAAGCAATACGAACAGAACAGGATACTTTTTCATACAAGTAAATGGTACAGCAGGAGCATATCAGGAATATGAAATGTTGAGTTTACCTATTCTTTAAACATAAACACTTATCAATGCCGAACATTTTTTTTTTTTATGCCAGCACATCTGGCTGCCCCCAGCAGTCCATGTATGACATTTTGTGTTCTTTCAGGGATGTTCTTACCTGGAAATGTTAACACTGCCTATTGCACGTGTGCACTACTACATCTGTAGGATGCCAAAGAGTAAAACCAAGTGCTGGGATAGTGCAAATCCATTGTGCAAGGGCTTGCAGCATCTCTGACTTCCCAATGGTTGAATGGAAAAAGATGCAAGCAGCAGAAAAAGCTCAAAAGACAATGGCAGTGGTGACTGCAGAGAGATGAAGGAAAGTGTAGAGGTATGATCGCTGATACATTGCAAATTCAATTGATGTGTATGTAAATCCTAACAATGAGCAAATATCATCTATTAGTTATTCTGTTAAAAATACCTATGATAGCATTTTGTCATTCTGTTCAAGTGCCAACAAACCTGTTGATCCTGCTAATAATTGTCCTTGCTACCTCTGTTCCACTATTACATTGTTTCCAGCTATCTTTCAGCTGTCTTTGTGGATTACCAAACACCCCCTCCCCTTCCCATTGTTGGATGACAACACTGATTCACTATATATCCAATATGGTAATTGTGGGTTATCACTCTAGGACAGGAGCAGGGGTGGACTGACAACTCATGGGGCCCCCGGGCAATAGGGGATCATGGGGCCCCTGTGTCCTTGCCCAAACTCAAAAAAGCCTATGAAAAAGGTACCAGGGGCATCTCATGGGGCCCTCTACTGACCCCAGGCCCTCGGGCAGTGCCCGAGTTTCCAAATGGACAGGAGTCTCTAAACTCTCTAAACCAGTATTTCTCAACCTTTCTTCAGTCAAGGCACCCTTTAAAATTATGGATAATCTCAAGGCACCCCAATCTGGCTAAATGGTTAGCACTTCTGTCTGGCAGTACTAGGGTCGTTGGTTTGAATCCCAACCACGGCACCACCTGCCTGGAGTTTGCATGTTCTCCCTGTGCCTGTGTGGGTTTCCTCTGGGTACTCCAGTTTCCTCCCACACTCCAAAGACATGCTAGTAGGTTAATTGGCTCTTGTCTAAATTGGCCCTAATATGTGTATGTATGAATGTGAGTTAGGGACCTTAGATTGTACACCCCTTGAGGGTTAGGGACTGATGTGAATGTACAATATATATGTAAAAGTGCTGCGTAAATTGACAGCGCTATATAAGTACCTGAAATAAATAAGGCACCCCAATCTAAAATGTAGAAAACTATTTTACACACATTTTTTACACCAACGTTAGAGGTGATTTATTCTTCCAAAGCAAATACACCTTTGCACACTGGTAATGACTAGTATTCCAGTGTATCTCTCTCATTTTCTCTTCCTCACTCTGCTAATGAGACCCCAGTGCTGATGGAGAGGGGAAGACAAGGATGATGTGCATGCACCCCACATCCTCCTTATCAACTGATGATGTCATTGGTTGTTAAGTTAAGTTGTTGATCCACCTGCTGGGCTTGTATACAGTTTTGGGGTATTTTGCCAAGGCACCCCTGAAGAAGCCTGAAGGCACCCCAGGGTGCCTGGGCACCCTGGTTGAGAAAGGCTGCTCTAAACAAAGGGCCACTTTACTGTCCTTCAGAATTCAGGGGGGCTGGACTGTGGCCATGGGGAGTAGAACAGACCCAGACATCAGTGGGAATAATCCATGCCCCTTCTTTGGAGTCTTTGGGAGGAATTGAGCCCCATCATCGGTGTCATTGGGCCCCAATGTTGGTGTCATTGTGAGGAATTGAGCCTCATAATTGGTGTCAGTGGAAGGAATTATGCCCCATTGTTGGTATCAGTGGATGAAACCCATGGGCCAGATAAAAGCAATCAAAGGGCCACATCCGTCCTGCCACAATTTGGAGATCACTGCAACATATTAATTTGGTATTTTTGGGTTTAGATTTGCTTTAAGTTGGTCATAATGTATGCTGTGTTCCTACCTCACCCCCAGCTTTCAGTTATGCTTTAATACCTTTTGTTATTAACTTCAATCATTGCTAGCTTGTTCTGCTGACTACTAGAGAGAGGACACTTCAAAAACAGAAGCTTGTGCAATCTGTGTTACCAAACAAAATGCACCTATCCAGTTCTAGATCCACTAAAACTTGGATCAGGTTCATATTTTTTTCACTGGTAAATATATGCTCTGTCGCAACACAAAATGCGTAGTGTTGAAAAAGAAAAAAAAAAATCAATATTTTGGAAGTAGAGAAATTTTCATTATAAATTGGAAGAACCAGATACAGTAAGAATTGAATATAATTTATTCATTGCAAAACAACACTAGCACAGGGCCTGCATATGCTACAACCCTGGCTAAATATTATTATTTTTTTTTTTACACAGGATTTATACAGCACCAACAGTTTGCGCAGCACTTTAAAAATGAATGAAGATATACATTACAGTTACAATACAATTTGGTACAAGAGGAAACAGAGGGCAACAGACACCAACTACAATTACTAGACTGTTGGGTCACCTTGGTTTGTTCCCTTCACATGTACCTGAATACAGACATTTGGTAAATTATTATTATTATACAGGATTTATATAGCGCCAAACAGTTTGCACAATGCTCTACAATGTGAAGGCAAACAGTACAGTTACAATACAAATGAATACAGGAGGAATCAGAGGGCCCTGCTCGTTAGAGCTTACAATCTAAAAGGGGAGATAGTCGAACAGATTGGGGTAGGGAATTCAATAGGATGGGAGAGGCTCGGGAGAAGTCCTGCAGGTGAGTATGGCAGGAAGTGACAAGGGAGCCAGAGAGCCGGAGGCCTTGGGAGGAACAAAGAGTGCGATTTGGTTGGTATTTTGAGACTAGGTTAGTGATGTAGCTAGTGTTGTGGATGGCTTTTGAAGTTAGTATTCTGAACTTAATTTGTTGGGTGAGTGGCAGCCAATGGAGGGAATGGCAGAGAGGGGTAGCAGATGCTGAACGGTTGGTAAGTTGGATGAGTCTAGCAGCAGCATTCATAATGGAGTGGAGAGGGGATAGCCTATGAAAAGGTAAGTCAATGGAGGAGGGAGTTGCAGTAGTCGAGGCAAGAGACAAACAGGGAGTGAATTAGGAGCTTTGTGGTGTCATTGGTTAGAAAGGGGCATATTTTGGATATGTTGTGGAGGTTGAGATGGGAAGGTTTGGAAAATGATTGGATGTGGGGCCAAAAGGAGAGTTCAAAGTCCAGGATCACACCTAGCACCCTGGCATGGGTTGATGGTTGTGCCATTGATTTTGACAGAGAAGTCAGGGGAAGGGGCACATGGGGGAGAAAATTGTAGGAGCTTGGTTTTGGATAGATATTTATTTATTTGTGTTTATTTATTTATTACAGGTACTTATATAGCACTGTCAATTGTATGCAGCGCTTTACATATACAGTATATTGTACATTCACATCAGTCATTTACCCTCAAGCAGCATACAATCTAAGGTTCTTAACTCACATTCATACATTAATTAACCTACTAGTATGTCATGTGTGGGAGTAAATTGGAGTACCCAGAGGAAACCCACGCAGGCACAGGGAGAACATACAAGTAGTGCCGTGATTGGGATTTAAACCAACGACCCTTGTGCTGCCTGGTGAAAGTGCTAATCACTTAGCCACTGTGCTGTCCCACCTTTGAAGCTTTTGGTTATATTTCATTGCTGACTTTGCTGATATTTGTTACTCTATAAATTCAGCATTCTATGATGTCACCTTTTTTATATTAATAATATTATTATTGTTGCTATTAATGATAATAATCAAAATAATGTTATTAATAACCCTTTAATACTCAAAAACAAGAAAATGAAATATTAATATATGCATTAAAACTTGTCAACAAAAAATGTATATTTATGTAAGTTTGCTGTTAAGTCTATTGTGCTGCATAAACTGCCATTGAAGGCAAAAAAAGTAGCAAAATTAGGCCCCTCTCACACATGGCGGATTCTGTGTGGGATCAGCTCACCAATCTGCTGATTGGAGCAGAGTGGGCAGATGACACATTTGTGTCCCTTCAGTTTCTGCAAAGTGGACTTGGACAGAGCCCGCTCTGCTCTATGGGCGGCCAGGAGTAAACTGACTCCACTGTCCATTTACACCCTCCGATCCGCCTAAATGGAAGAGGACGAATCCCCTCCTGTCTTTTTTTAGTGGACTGCATCAGACATATTATTATTTTTTTCAATGGCATCATTGTTCGGAGGCTTTTGGAGTTTTATCCCTGCTCTGTGTAGATCCACATTGATGTGACCAGTTTTGAGCTGAGCTGAAAATTGGTCTTGTTCCTGTGGCTTTGCTGGCTAGAAATGGTATTAATCAACCTGAATGTGCTGACTGATAAATTCACATTAGGGTAGCGTTGTCACCTTTAAAATGGAAGTTCATTGGTAGCAGGATCAATAGGTCCTAAAGGAGACTAAAAAACTAAAGACAAAAAGCAATAGCCCTGGAAATTAGGAGTATGTTTATTAGGAGTATAAGGATTGCTTGAGTAGAACTAGAAAATGGCACCATAAAAGTAGAAAATTTTAGCTTGAAACCACCACTTGCTGTAGCTGATACTAGTATGGATGTGTGCATGTGAAATCCTCAGTCAATGCCGATGCTCAGGCCATGCCTGCTACATGGTTTGCTCCACCCACCGGTGGGGGACCCCTATGATTAATCCCCAGTGGGTGGGGTGAAACATGTCAGAGGGCATGGCCTTAGAAGTGGCATTGGCTGAGGATTTCACATGCACACATCCATACTAGCATCGGCTAAGGTGTGTGGCAGTTTCAAGCTAAAATGTTCATTGGATGAGTTTTTCTTAGGCTGGCATCCCTATTATCTTGAGTGCTAATGGGGCTCTACACCTCAGCCTGGAGTGGCACCACCAAGTACCTATGGCCTTATTGTGGAAAAAATTAGAAAATGGTACATTACCATTTGCTATTTTCTAATTTTACAGCATTACTCAGACATAAACTTTGAATATCTTCTGTCCTGAAAATGTCTTAAACATTTTAATAATGGAATTTCTATAAAACTTCTTTTACAATAATAATTTTTAAAATTGATAAAAGTATATTTAATAGTATGATTTTTTTTTTTTAAAGTAATGCCAAAGCACTTCTGGCCATACTTCACCTGTGGGTCATTTCCAGTCCAGGCTTTGCAGGGATCCCGATAATAATGTCAGGATCTGCCCAGATTCCTGACCAGCAGCTGGCTTAGCATCTAAGGGCACTGCTGAGAGCCTGAGCCAGCTGCTCCCTCCAATTCACAGACCAGCAATCTAGTGAACATTGAAGGGGCAATACAGAGAGCTGGTGATTGACAGTAATTGGCTCTCTGCTTGTTGAAGACCGGGAACTGAGTGATCAGCGGTCTTTGATCACTCAGTTCTCGGTCTTAGAGGCGGCAAGGGATACCACCTAGGTGATTATGAGTGTTCTTTTTTTTTTTTAAACCCATGCTTCTCTTTTAACCACTTGCCTACCAGGCACTTATACCCCCTTATTTACCAGGCCAATTTTCAGCTTTCAGCGCTGCCGCACTTTGATTGACAATTGCGCGCGGTCATGCAACATTGTACCCATATGAAATTTTGATAATTTTTTTTCTCACTAATAGAGCTTTCTTTTGGTGGTATTTAATCGCCACTGGGCGCTTTTACTTTTTGCGCTATAAATTACAAAAAAAAGTGCAAAAAATTTGAAAAAAAAAAAAAAGTTTCTTTGTTTCTATTATAAAAATTTTTTCAAACAGGTATTTTTTCTCCTTCACTGATGTGCGTTGATGAGGCAGCACTGATGGGCACTGATAGGCGGCACTGATAGGCGGCACTGATGGGCACTGATAGGCAGCACTAAAGGGCACTGATAGGCAGTACTAATGAGGTGGCACGGATAGGCGGCACTGATAGACAGCACTAATGAGGTGTCACGGATAGGCGGCACTAATATGCAGCACTGATAGGCGGCACTGATAGGTGACACTGATGAGGGTACTGATAGACAGCACTGACTGGCATCACTGCTGTGCACTGACTGGCGGCACTGACTGGCACAACCCCTGGGTATACCCCTTCCCTGGGCACTGACTGGTGGCATTGGTGGGTGGCATTGGTGGGTGGCACTGGTGGGTGGCACTGGTGGGTGGCACTGGCACCTTGTGGGTGGCACTGGTGGGTGGCACTGGTGGGTGGCACTGGTGGGCACAGGTGGGTGGGCATAGGTGGGTGGCACTGCTGGGCACAGGTAGGTGGCACTTCTGGGCACAGGTGTGTGACACACATGTACTAGTGTGCTGCAGAGTGGCACAGGTGGGTGCACTGCTGGGCACAGGTGGGTGCACTGCTGGGCACAGGTGGGTGATCTGCTGGGCACAGGTGGGTGGAGCTAGTGGGCGCACTGCTGGGCACAGGTGGGCGGAACTTGCGGGTGGCATTGCTGGGCACCGATCATCAGGGCACTGATCATCAGTGCCCTGATGATCGGTGCCGATCCCCGCTCTGACAACTGCCGATTCTCGGCAGTACTATCCTCACGATCTGACAGCGTGAGGAAAGTGCAGCCGAGAACCGGCACTTGCATTTCCCTGTGATCAGCGTGTCATTGGACACCGCTGATCACGTGATAAAAGGCCGGTATGATTGGCCTTTTACCACATCACGTGATCAGCTGTGTCCGTAGGACACAGCGATCACGGAGATCGCCGGGTGCGCGCCCCCTGGGGCGCGCAGGAGAGCGCGTTTCTGGGAGGACGTCATATGACGTCCACTCAGAACTGGCCGGCGGCAGTTTAGCCGTCATTCGGCTATCTGCGGTCGGCAACTAGTTAAGTATGTAAGAGAAAAGTGACTGCATTATGTAATGTTTATTTATGAAAATTGTTTATTTCTTTTTCAATATGATACTGTTGCTTTGTATTTAACCACTTGCTCTCCAGAGGATTTACCCCCCTTCCTGACCAGGCCATTTTTTGCGATACGGCTCTGCGTTACTTTAACTGGCAATTGCGCCGTCATGCAACACTGCACCCAAATTAAATTTATGTCCCTTTTTTCCCACAAATGGAGCTTTCTTTTGGGTTTATTTGATCACCTCTGCGTTTTTTATTTTTTTGCCCTATAAACAAAAAAAACTGACAATTTTGAAAAAAAAAAATATTTTTTACTTTTTGCTGTAAAACATATCCAGTAAAAATTTTTAAAAATCTGATTTCAGCATAAATGTTGGCCAAAATGTATTCTGCTACATGTCTTTGCTAAAAAAAATCCCAATACATGTAAATTAATTGGTTTACGTGAAAGTTATAGCAAATGGCGATATATATATACTGGAATTAAAAAAAAAAAAAGTAATGGCGGCGATCAGCGACTTATAGCGGGACTGAGGCGGGCATTCGGACACTGGAGGGGAACTGACTTGGTGTCACTGACATCCCCAGTGACACCAATACAGTGATTAGTGCTAATAAAAAGCACTGACACTCTACTAATCAAAGGAATATAAAATTATCTCCTGCGCCACTACATATAATGGTACTATTCAGCAGCCAGCACTAACGATGTCACAATCACAACACCAGCAGTAGTCAAGAAAAATAAAAGTATAAAATAGTGCAGCGCTCAAACCGAAGTAAAATATAATATATCAGATGGCATATATATATAATTGAAAGTGACCCACACAGCCGTACCACTTATATAGATTAATGGGCTGGTGGTAACATAATCTCAAGCAACTAATTCATGCACTATAGTGACTATAAACATATGCAGTAAAAAGTGTCCATGTGCATAAAATTCCATGCAGGTGAAAACTGTAGGTGCCAATCCTCAAATAGGTGAACTGCCCCCTCACCTTCCTGCCCAGGCCCCTAGGGACCAATGAGCCTTTTGATATATGGTGGGTCTTGGGTAGATCCTTCAGATGGTGGATCCCTCAGGAAGTAATGGTGGGACTCTCCTCCTCTTATCTCCTATATCAGAGCGTTGATGGTATCGAAGGTACCCCTCCCACACGGTCATCAATAAGGAGAGAGAACTTGTATAGTGTAAAATCGCTTTATTATATGAGTGATAAAACCAAAAATCTACTCACACATTCAATCGTAAAAACGAGCCTTCACACCACTCAAAGGGTGTACTGCATTCAGGAACTGGGAGCACCAAGATGGCGCCCGGCGCCGGATATGACATCAGAACGTTCGTGTAAGCTCCTCCCACTGGCGTATCTACACGTTACGTCACTTCAATCACGTGACTTCATCAGGATCTACGCCTATCCTGGGTGGAGCCCTATTTATCTAATGTGTTAGCCAATCAATACTTCCGATGGGCGGAACTTGGCCGCCATTTTATTGGAGCTCACAAGACACCCTCAGCCATCGTACTCTACTAATGACGCTGGGCAGGAAGGGGATACCACGTGGGGAGATCAAAGGGTTAACTGTGTGTGTTTTGTGTGTGCTTTACTGTGTAAGCACGCTGCTTTGTATGGCTTTGCTATGCAGAGCCATACAAAGCAGCATGCAGGAGCTGACAGGGCAGAGATCTGTATTGTTTACATACAGACCTGTCCCCCATCAGTGTTACTCGGCGATCGCTGGGTGCTGGCTGGTGGGAATCACCTGAAGCTGCCAATGGTGGCCCAGAAATACAAAGTTACGTATATATACGTGATTTTGTGCAGCCCTGCCACCCTGTAACAGTAGTTCTGCTATAGGGCAGTTGTGAAGTGGTTAAATTACAGTAGGAGTAGGTTATTCCTTAATCTCTGTTTGGTTAAAGTAGAACTAAAGGCAATTTGTTTCATTTGGGGTAGCATAAGGGAGGATTATAACCCTTGTCAGTTTTTAATTATTCATTCTGTATCTCATTGTGGAGATTTCCCCTCACTTCCTGTCCCATAGCCAAACAGGAAGTGATAGGAAATCCCTCCAAAGTGAGGGAATCCCTGCTTGTTACAGGGTCACCAGAACTGGGGTCCCGTTTTGAAGATTTCTCCTCTATTCCTGATTTGGGGACAACCAAAAAAATGTGGGATTTTCCTTTACTTTCACTGATAACAGTAACCAGGACAAATATTTATTTATTCCAGGTACTTATATAGCGCTGTCAATTTAAGCAGTGCTTTACATATATATTGTACATTCACATCAATCCCTAACCCTCAAGGAGCATACAATCTAAGGGTCTTAACTTACATTCATACATACACATACTAGGGCCAATTTAGAGAGGATCCAGTTTACCTCCCAGCATGTCTTTGGAGTGTGGGAGGAAACCGGAGTACCCGGAGGAAACCCACACAGGCACAACATGCAAACTCCAGGCAGGTGGTGCTGTGATTGGGATTCAAACCAACACCCCTTGTACTGCGCGGCAGAAGAACTAACCATTTAGCCACTGTACTGCCATATCAAATAGAGAGGTGAATCTCCCTAACGGGGACACAGATAGCAATAAACACTGACAAGTGTTTTCATCCCTCTCCACTCTATCCAAAATGAAAAAAAAAATAGTTTTGCCTTTGCTTATACTTTAACTAGTTGCTGACCGCAGATAGCCGAATGACGGTTGCACTGTGGCCGGCCAGTTCTGGGGGGCGCGCATCCGGCGATCTCCGAGATCGCTGTGTCCGTAGGACACAGCTGATCAAGTGATGTGGTAAAAGGCCAATCACAGCGGCCTTTTACCACGTGATCAGCTGTGTCCAATGACATGCTGATCACCGGGAAATGCAATTGCCGGTTCTCGGCTGCACTTTCCTCACGCTGTCAGAGTGTAAGGAAAGTACTGCAGAGAACCGGCAGATGTCAAAGCAGGGATCGGCACCGATCATCAGGGCCCTGATGATCGGTGCCCAGAAGTGCCACCCACCATTTCTGCCCAAAAGTGCCCAGTAGTGCCACCTACCTGTGCCCAGCAGTGCCACCCACCTGTGCCCAGCAGTGCCCACTAGTGCCACCCATCAGTGCAGCCCAGCAGTGCCGCCAGTCATGCCACCCAGCAGTAACGCCAGTCAGTGCCCAACAGTTGCACCAGTCAGTGCCCAGCAGTGCCGCAAGCCATTGCCGCCTATCAGTGCTGACTATAGTGCCAACTCATCAGTGCCATCTATGAGTGCCACCTATCAGTGCTGCCTATCAGTGTCACCTATCTGTGCCACCTCATTAGTGCTGCCTCTCAGTGCCGCCTATCAGTGCTGCCTATCAGTGCCCATCAGTGCTGCCTATCAGTGCAGCCTCATCAACGCACATCAGTGAAGGAGAAAAGTTACCTGTTTGCAAAATTGTATAACAGAAACAAAGAAACTTTTTTTTTTTTTCAAATGTGTTGCTCTTTTTTTGTTTATAGCGCAAAAAGTAAAACACCCAGCGGCAAATACCACCAAAAGAAACCTCTATTTGTGAGAAAACAAAATTATAAAAATTTCATATGGGTACAATGTTGCATGACCGTGCAATTGTCATTCAAAGTGCGACAGCGATGAAAGCTGAAAATTGGCTTGGTAAGGAAGGGGGGTGTAAGTGCAAGTGGTTAAATATGTTTTTTTTTTTCATTCAGATTTTATTTTGAAAACATTTTAAACAAGCACACAAAATACAAATACCTAAGACAAAAAAAACACATAGATCATAAATACAAACAAACTAAAATGGAAAAAAAGAAGAATGGGAAAAAACCCTAAGAAAAGTTTAATTTTCATTTATAAAATTATAAATATTGCAGGAAAGAAGAATTCATAATAAATAAATAAATAAATATCTGTTGAATTAGACTGTAAGCTCCAAGGAGCAGGGCCCTCCTAACCCTCTTGTATTGAACTGTATTGTTGCTGTATTGTCTCCTGTTATATTGTAAAGTGCTGAGCAAACTGTTGGCGCCTATATAAATCCTATATAATAATAATAATTGGCTGCATTGTAAAAATAAAAATGATAAAAGAATGTAGCTGGTTACAGCTCATTAAATCACTATGAAGCAGTCAGCGAATGATTCTGTAGGGGACCTTGTTAGCCTGACAGGAAAGAGTTAGATAGATATATATATATAAGTATACACCCAGGGGAACTTCCCAGATAGGCGTGTTAGTGTGTTACGTGTTACAGTGAGCTCAGGTGCAGCGAGGTAACCTAGCAAGTCAGGAAGTCCATCACGAAACATCTGAAGAATATGGTCTCACAGAAGACGATTGTAATGTAGCCATGCGAACCTCGCAAGAATGGACTCTTTTGGTCCTGTTGGGGATTCTGGATTTTGTAGCAGGTATGTTACTTTATTTAAGTGCAAAGGTTTTAGGGATCCATTAACATACAATGCCGGGAGGTCAGCCCTGGGTGGACTATGTGGCTGTACAAGCACACTGTAACAACAAAGAAGGAAACAGATACAAGCACAAAAAAGAGTATTAGACGTAGTTGTGCAAATATGTCATGACTGTGAAAACTAGAAGGTGTGAGAGTGAAACTAGAATAGAGAGTATACGTAGCAGGCGTGCTTTATCCAGTCAGAGGGGAACACTGACAGCAGGCTTAGGTAAAAAAAATGTTGTCATGAGAAAGTCACCGTAGTTGGGAGAGTGACATTTAAGTAAACATACAGTAACTATAATGGATTTAAACAATGCAAAAAGATTCCATATAAGACTGATACACATGAGTGCAGTTCTTGGCTTGTCTTCCTGAAATCTCAGGGTTGCCATTCCTATTCTGTTTTGGGTAAAAATACTAACACATCAAATGTTTACCAATACGCCCCATTAAACATGTACGGTATATTAGTCTACTTTCAATCCATGACTGGTAATATTTTACAATTTATGTTAACTTGCAGCCACTTTAGAGTACTGATAAAGAACAAAAGTGAAAATTTCCCATCTCAACTTGCCAACCAGCCTGCAAACAAACCGAATAAGCCTGTCTAACAGTATGCGTTAAAAACAGGGGTTTAGTTAGCACACATTTGCAAATACGTGCGTAAGCTATAGAGCCTCGTCACGGCACCCCAAAATACTGCAGTTCTTAACTCTACAAATTTTGAAAGCCCCCATAGTAGAGGCACATGTATTTAATGGATAGACCAAGGGCAGGTGGACCTGAGGGAGCCCACTTCTCCTTAAAGGTGCACATGCGTCGCCCTTCCATGTGCTCCTTGCTGTGAAGGCCAGTTATAGACTGGGGTAGTGGCCATTTTTTGTACTGTTGAATTGTTGGCTGCCATTGTGCTACACACCTTTAAGAAGGGGTGGGCTCCCTCAGGTCCACCTGTCCTCAGTCTATCCATTAAGTACATGTGCCTCTACTATGGGGGCTCTCAAAATTTGTAGAGTTAGGAACTACAGACTATCGGGGTGCCGTGACAAGGCTCTGCAGCTTACGCATGTATTTACAAATGTGTGCTAACTAACCCTGTTTTTAATGCATACTGCTAGGTTAATTTGGTTTGTTTGCAGGCTGGTTGGCAAGTTGAGCTGGGAATTTTTCTCTTTTGTTCTTTGACATGCGTCGCCTGTCCATGTGCTCCTTGCTGTGAAGACCAGTTATGGACTGGGGCAGTGGCCATTTTTTTGTACTATTGAATTGTTAGTGAGGGGGTGCACTGGACACCTTGGCTGCCGTTGTGCTACATGCTGGGTGTCCAGTGTGCTCCTGTACCTTTAAGGAGGGGTGGGCTCCCTCAGGTTCACCTGCCCTCAGTCTATCCATTAAATACATGTGCCTCTACTATGGGGGCTCTCAAAATGTGTAGAGTTAGGAACTACAGAATACCAGGGTGCCGTGACGAGGTTCTGCAGCTTACGCATGTATTTGCAAATGTGTGCTAACTAAACCCCTGTTTTTAACGCATACTGTTAGACAGGCTAATTCGGTTTGTTTGCAGGCTGGTTGGCGCGATGAGCTTGGAATTTTTTCTGTTTTTTTGTTTGACATGCGTCGCCTGTCCATGTGCTCCTTGCTGTGAAGACCAGTTATGGACTGGGGCAGTGGCCATTTTTTGTACTTTAGAGTACTGCACAACACAATATGCGCAGTCCATTAATGTGTTACCACGCATTGTATTTGTGCTTTTTGAATGGGATGCCAAAGCACAAGAACAGAATAAAAAAGAGATATGCAGTATTTGACACTGCAATGCTAGTGCACATACTGCACCCCAAAAGTGTGTTTCTGCCCTTAAAGGATAAGTTCACCTTTCTGAACATGTTACATACAGTACTACACCCATATTTAGGGTGTTACATGTTCAGCATCAGACCCAGGGCCACTGTTAGATATCATGGGGCCCCCGTACAGCCTACCTGACAGAGCCCCCCCACCGCCAGAGAAAATATCAAAATAATATTTATGGTAAAAATACACTAAAAATGTTATTAATGTACACAATCCCAATAAAATTTCCTGTTAAATCTAAATGATAAAACTGTACTGAGTTAAATAAAACCCTGTGTGTAATTGAGGTCTTGAGGCTCATTCACATGGGTGCTGTGGTCTGTATCGTGTGAATCTGTGTTTTTTTTTTGTGGCTGGAGCTGCTTGAAGCCGTTTGTAGGCAGCCTATGTTACACTATGGAAATGGTGCAGGTCCTAAAAGGACATGCATGTGGGTGCAGGTGTACAGCCCTGAACACAGACAGTGAGCATTCAGGACCACTTCCCCACACCTCTCAGATAAAAACCTGTGTTCATACAGCTGCTGTGATCCCATAGCATACCAGGTGGGTCCAGCCACATGAACAACCCACTCATTCATGCTGTACAGGCCAGAGGACCTGTGTGAATGTGTGGCATTTTTGACAGTTGGTGCGTTCCAGTGCATTTTTGATGCGTTTTATCACATTGCAGTACAGTTCTGTGCAGAAAAAATGCAGCCTGTTCTACTTTTTTTCTCTGCAATCAGAACGCACTGGAAATGCAAGCACTAATGGGAACTATGACACTGACAACCATATAACCTACTTTCTGTGTGTTTTGGATGCAGGAAGAAAGCAACTGAAATGCATGTAGTGATATATGGATTTGCAGAGGGAACAGGTGATGACAGGGGGGATCAGCAGTCTGGGGGGAGAGGACTCAGCTACATAGAGATCATATAGCTGTACTGGGAGAAGATAAAAGACAACTACAGGAATGGAATAGAGCTTGTTGGCTGTGACTGTGTCAGGGAGGCAGGGGATCTGGGAGAGAACAGGGAAAATATATAGGCTGGGCAGGCAGGAGACAGGATAGATCGGCCAGAAGGAGGAATACAGGAGTGAAGGACTGCAGGGAGATACCGCGGCACATTCAGAGAGAAACATCACAGTGTGATTGCAGAGATGGGTCAAACTTGTGGAGCAGAGCAGGAGCGCAGCTAACATTCCCAACAATGAGCGGCTGTGTGATAGAATGACAGGAGGCTAACAATGGAATTTAGCAGCTGCAGATGGGTTGTCAGCTGCCCCCCCCCCCTCTGCAGCTTATGGGTCCAGGCCCCTACAGGAGGCCCGGGGGTATCCCCTTATCAGCGGCCCTGATCAGACCCCTCTCCCCCCTCCCCTGTGGCAGCGAGCTGGGGCTCTTCTCCCCATACTCACTTCCACAATTCAAATAGAGCATAGCCGTACAGGGCTCTGCCCACTAGGCACCGTCACTGATTCACAGATTTTAGTTCTCAATGAACTACCCCAGTGCTTTTGAGCGCTGTGTTAGTTCATTGATTCTTCCTGTCAGTGTAAAACTGCCTGCCCATACAATGTATGGTCAGACAGCCTACACTGACAGTCTGCAGGATGCCTGCATGGCACCAGCGATCTGCCAATTGCTGGTGCAATGCTTTCCAGGCTTCTAAAACAAAAAATAGTAAATGCACATTTTTTTACCGGAAATTTTTTTGTTAAAAAGATGAACGTATCCTTTAAACCACGTGTCAACACACACACACCTTGTCTCAGCAGTTGGCAGCAGAGAGGAGGACAGAATGCGCCTCTTGCAGATCCTGTACCCCTCTATGGATCCCCTGGTCTTAGCATTCAGCAGACTCTGGTAATTGACTCCAGCCCTCCTCTGGTCCTCCTCCAGACCCTGGACCTTCTGCTTTCCAGCTCCACCCCCAGCTTCTTCCAGGCAGCAGCACAAGGTGTAAGAGGGGTGCACTGTAACACTGTGATGTAAGGGAGGGTGGGGGACTCCTGACCTCTGATGGTGGTGGGGGGGGGGGGGGTGCTCTGGACATCTAGCCTCACAGATACATTTTCTTCTATGTGGTTTGCCATGAAGTTTAG